CTGCCCTACAGACAAGCTCACGGGCCAACCCAATGCAGAAAGTCCCTCCTTGAGACACTCCGCCTGGGTGATGCTAATTGTGTGGAGCTGGCGATGAAAAGGAACCGTCACAGCCTACTTCCGGTGGGCAGCATGACTTCGCTCCTCTCAGATGTGATGCGAGGGGCCTTTTCCATCTTAAAATAACACGACCTGGCCGTGAGTGCTGCTTCCACGTGAAGCCTGGGCTGCTGCTAGCCAGCTTGGAATTCCCTGCCACAGCTTTTCCTAGAATGTGCCATGTGAGGCTATGTGTGAGGTTGATGACTAAGCATGGACATTCTAGTTTAAATGCAGTTGCATCTGGTCTTCATTCTGTCTGCTGCTAAGCATGGTAACTCCGAGAGAAAGAAAGATGAGGTACAACATTTCCCAGACTCCTTCACCATAGAAACTTCTCATTGGGCATGTCAAAGCACTCATTCCCTAAGTAACTGCGCCACATCCTGTGGGGACAATAGGGTAAATGACCTATTTCCCTAGGTTTACTAAGATTCGAAGGAAAGATTGACAACTCGAAGGTGCACCAAGCCCCCTTTGCACCTGCATGCTAGGCAAAGAGAACCGAATGCTGCAAGTGTGGAGAGAAGGGAAGTTAGCTGAAGTCTTCAGTCTTGCTCAAAACCTTCTTTTTAATAATGTCCCCAAACTATGGAGTCTGTGAGAGAGGAGGGCTGCTTAGCTGAATCCGATAAGCAGAGTAGGAAGAACAGCAAAGAAAGATTTGTAGCAGGATTAAGTGGGGCAGTCAGAGATTTAGGGGAACATTCTAGGGGCCAGGAGTTGGGTACCTGGATTTAAATTAGCACAGGCCAGTGAGAAATGGGAAGATGAACCATCAAGAGTGGAGGAGAGGGAAAAGGGGGAAGTGGTAGAGGATCAAAGACATTTTGTGGCTGCTTCAGAGCCTTGCATCTTGATGTTTATGAAAGCAATCCACAGCCTGGCAGTGGTGGTGCATGCCTTCAATCCCAGAGGCAGGAGGATCTCTGAGTTTGAGAACAGCTTGGTCTACAGATTGAGTTCCAGGACAGTCAGGGCTACACAGAAAAACACTGTCTTGAAAAACAACAAGGAAAAAAGAAAAAGAAAGAAAGAAAAAAGGAAGGAAGGAAGGTGGAATGGAGGGAGAGAAGAGAGAGAGAGAGAGAAGGCAGGTGGATCTCTGTGAGTTTGAGGCCAGTATGGTCTACAAGAGCTAGTTTCAGAACAGCCAGGGCTGTTACAGAGAGAAACCCTGTCTCAAAAAAAAAAAAAAAGGAAAGGAAAGAAGGAAGAAAGGAGGGAGGGAGGAAGAAAAAGAAAAAAACAATTCCCATTGGCACACGAGATGCTAAGTCCTGAACTAGGCTCCAAAAGGAATTTGTTCACTTGGAAAAATGAAGTAAATATCTAGTTTTTACAATGAATATGTATGTATGTATATATATATACATATAATTAATGAATATCTAGTTTACATAGAATATATTTTTATAGATGACCCCTGATGTGTTATGTTGATTGGTTTACTAAGGAGGACATCCTGTTTACACATGGAGGGAAGGGTGAAAGGAACCGCAACATCTTTTAGTGCCTGCTGCGTTCAAATCTCCAATGTCATCCATTTAATTTCATAAGAACCAAGAGAGAGGCTGTCAGGTCTGCCCCTCTTTGCTTTGCTCTATCTGCCCGCTATCAAATGATGAGTGAAATCTTGCTTTCTCTCTCCACCCCCAGGTACCTGTCAATGATGACCTTGTTGTCACCACAGGAAATAGCAATGGCTTGGCAACAGTACATGTGAGTATCCGACTAGTACCAGGGAACGCTGCTGTTGGCAGAGGCTTCTGTCCTGCCTGGTCCCGCAACCATTCAGTCCCAGAGAAACACAGAGAGACCTATACTAATCATAAACTGGTTGGTCTATTAGCTCAGACTTCTTATTAACTCTTACACCCTACATTAACCCATAATTCTTCTCTGTGTTAGCCACATGACTTGGTACCTTTTATCAGTGAGGCATTCTCATCTTGTTTTCTCTGTGTTTGGGTGATGACTACAGACTGAGTCTTTCTTCTTCCCAGAAGTTTCCTGTTCTCGTCACCCTGCCTCTACTTCCTGCCTGGCTTCCCCACCTATACTTTCTGCCTGGCTACTGGCCAATCAGTGTTTTATTAAAACAATACAAGTGACAGGGTACAAGATCATTGTCTGACAGCACTTCCCCCTTTTTTTTCCAAAACAAGAACTCTGAATCTAAGGTCCTTTGTTTAGCTTTTTTTCCAGACCATTATCCATAACAACTTGTAACCAACAATCTAAATAAAGTAATCCATTTTTTGGGAATGTGGGCATAGTTTTCCAGGCTACTTTTTGCTGATTGGGGACACTGATAATCTTATAGGGACCTAAAGAAAATTTAGAATTATGATCAAGTCCTGATTGGAGTATTCTGTGAGACTTTATCATCTCAGCCAGCAGTCTTGAAGCTGTTCTGGATGTAAAACTCAGAGGAAACTGGAACAGAGGAACTCTGAAATGTTGGATCATCTGGGCCATTCACACCTATCGCAGATTTTTTTCAGGAGATCTTCCTTGATCAAACCCAGAATGAATCCACAACCTCTAATTTCCTGTAGAACCAAAAACAAAGCCTCTTCTCCAAAATAACATATCTTTTGACTTAAATTTTGAAGTCAAAGCATTTTCAAAATATATATGTTGTATTAATTCAGGAACATTTATAATCAAATGTCTTTTAGCAGCTGTTGCTCCTTCCTCAGCCATCAAACAATTAAAAGACAACACAATAGCATACAGTATCCAGATTCTCTGTGTATTTTCCATCTTTATGTGTCTGTATTTTAAACTCTATTTTTTTATTTTTATTTTTTGTTTTTGTTTTTGTTTTGTTTTGTTTTTAAGACAGGGTTTCTCCATGTATCTTTGACTGTTCTGGAACTCAATCTATAGGCCAAGCTGTCCTTGAACTCACAGAGATCTGCTTTCCTCTGCCTCCCAAGTGCTGGAATTAAAGGTGTGTGCCACCAGACCCAACTACTCTCTTTCTTTTTTAAGGATTTTATCCTTTTTCTTTTCTCTCCCAAGCCTACATGTATTTTTAAATACACTATAAACTGTTTAGAGGTTTTCTTCATCTGAATCTATCTTTACTATATACCTCTCTTTTACTAACCACATGAGTCTTTAATTTGCTAAGTGATATGGGTAGGATTAAAGCTGTGGCTTTGACAGCTGGATCCACCCCATTTCTTAGCTTTCTGAGAGTCTAGCCTCATGGCGGAGGTACCGGCTGGAGTCATGCTTATTGTCACAACTCTATGGAGTTTCAAGGTCCCTGCCCCCACCAAGAAGCACGCTGTTGTCAATTCATAAACACTATTTAAGTGCATTGTGGCAGAGCCTCTTAAAAGGGCTGCAAGGTTTTTGCAGTTAAGCTGAGTCAGGAAGCCTCTCTTAAATAAGAGTGCTTACCTCTAGAAAACAGAGCCCACCTGAGAAAATGCTGCTACTAGGAAGCCATGCTTAACTCTGTTCTTTTGTGTCCAGAATTACTTCCCAAGCTCTCTCAGGTTTTATGTAGATGTAGTTGTCCATGTTAGCACCATTTGTTGGCAGAGGTTTTTGTCCCACACAGTCCCACAACCGTTCAGTCCCAAAGAAACACACAAAAGTCTACATTAATCATAAACTGGTTGGCCTATTATCTCAGGCTTATTAACTCTTACATCCTACATTAACCAATAATTCTTGCCTCTGTTAGCCATGTGGCTTGATATCTTTTATCACTGAGGCGTTCTCGTCCTGCTTCCTCTGCATCTGGGTGATGACTGCAGACTGAGTATTTTCTCTTCCCAGAATTCTCCTGTTCTCATTGCCCTGCCTATACTTCCTGTCTGGCTACTGGCCAATCAGCATTTTATTAAAGCAATACAAGTGACAGGGTACAAGAGCATTGTTCCACAGTATCTGTTACAAAAAATAAAAAATACTTTGATGCAAAGTCATAGGAATATGACTTGGCTCACCATGATAAAGTGGAGTTTGTTTATCTAGTTCTGTCTTGCTGTCTTGACTGTCCTCACAGTTGATTTTGGATAATAACTAGTGGTCTTGTATGCATACCCTCTGTATTTGTGAAAATTTTTGTATATATCATATATAGTCATGCAACTGCATCATGATACTTCTGCAAACTACATATATTATAGTCTCATAAGGCTGCAACAGTGAGTGATTTCATAGCTATCTTACTTTGTATAAATATACTCTATGATGTTTACACAATGAAAAATTTGCCCCGTGAATCGTTTCTTATACAATGTCCCTATTGTTACATGGTACACAGATTTATAAATTTTACAGTGGCATTTGAACTCATGAGGCTCATATTGTGTTGTGTGGTTCATAGCATCTCTTACTACACAGCATCTTGTGTCTGACCACACAATCTGCATTTCCTGAGCAGAAATTCTCTCTGTTGGTGTTTTGATAATTTTTTACCTTTAACACATTACAAGGATTGTTTACACGGTGGCACAGAGGAAAACGGGCTCTTTATATTTCCCACAATCCTAGTTGCTGTTGGTGTATCTATTTCTGGCAGACACTCGTCCAGACACATTTACAGTGAGTTGCTTGCCTTGATAGCATGTGGAGTTGGGAGATCTCTTCTTAGACTAGCTAAGATTATGGTAAGATGTTAAACTGTATGGGCTAAGGAGCAGGTGCCTGGGGAGTCCATCTCCAGATCTGACTATATGGGATCCAGAAGAATACTGTGCTTGGCCAAGAGTCATCATTTTGTGTTTTCTGGTTCTTTGTGTTTTCACAGTAGAGTTATGGACTCATCCATATGTGCCATTCCCTCTCCTCTCAGCTAGAGCACAGCGTAATGCCTTCTCATTTTCCCATTTAATGAGGAATCTTCTTGTTTCCATATCCCAACATAGGTAAAAACTGTGGTTCATAAAACTAGTGTCTCTGAGGAATTCTGCAGCTTTTACTTGAAAATTGATACCCAAGACATTGATGGTAAGATGCCCCAGTGTGCTCTGTATTTTAGCTACACTTTGAAAATGTCAGGTAAAGAGCATCCCCAATTAGGAAATGTGTGCCTGTGAAAAAAAAAAAAAGATTCTTAATCTAGCTACTCAGTAGGTAGGCATCCAAGTACACATTCCTCCCGTTTGTCACAGTAGATGCAACTTTAATAACTGTTGCAAACTAGTATCGAGTGATATAGCAGCTCACCTGAATGTATTCAGTGTTGGTGCCTCAGTATTGGTTACTTCTAAAGAATTTAACAAGTTGTAAGGCTTAAAATGGAATATTCCTTTGGATTTCTACTGCTTTGCATGTGAGGATTCTATTCCAAGAAACCTCCTCTTCCTGCTGGTTTTTTAGAACCATACTCATTTTCCCTCCCTCATCTTTGCTCTCTCTCTAGTACATAAGCCTTTTAAAAAATGTGCCCCCCTTCTTGTGCCCCTGCTAGTTTGTTGGCATTTCCATGTCCAAAGTCAAGTCCACCTGGATGCTCTTGTCCTCCTCTGACCCTTGCCCCAGGGCCACAATAGGCCTGCTCCTTCAGGAAACTTTCTACACCCACAGACGTGACCCTCCATCTTCCCAGACCCCCAAACACACTATTGAGACCCACTTACCTCCTTCAGCGGTATTCAGAGATATTTGAGAGCAGAGAGCATCTCCAGTGACAGCAGCATCCCGCCGTTGTCAGTAGCTTTACAATCTCCAGATTTTAAAATCTTCCAGATCACAAATCACTTTTAGTTGTGTTTCGAGACTTTCTCATAACAACTCCGCCCAAACACGCTCCAAAACAAGTAAAAGCAGCGTACTTCCTCCTTTGTGACTTGTTTGTGTGTTTGTCTGTGTGCCAGCCTCCAGCTATCCCAGCCACAGTGACTCCGATCAGAAGCTTGTGGTCGCATGTGCCAGGTGAGTCCATTGCGCAACGTGGAGTGGAGGTTTCCGAAACCTGGCTGTCACCGCAGCACTCCAGTGCCTCCTAGCATTCCCAAGGGTGCTCAGGTGTCCGTGCACTGCAGCACTCCAGTGCCTCCTAGCATTCCCAAGGGTGCTCAGGTGTCCGTCACTGCAGCACTCCAGTGCCTCCTAGCATTCCCAAGGGTGCTTAGGTGTCCGTCACTGCAGCACTCCAGTGCCTCCTAGCGTTCCCAAGGGTGCTCAGGTGTCCGTGCATTCGTTTGTTTAGCACTTCAGTGCCTCCTAGCATTCCCAAGGGTGCTCAGGTGTCCGTGCATTCGTCTTTCACTGCAGCACTCCAGTGCCTCCTAGCATTCCCAAGGGTGCTCAGGTGTCCGTGCGTTCGTTTGTTTCTAGTATTCTATTTTGTTTTGTTTTGTTTGTTGTAGAGATCCTCCTGCCTCTGCCTCCCAAGTACTGGGATTAAAGATGTGTGTCACCACTGCCTGGCCATTTGTTCATATTTTAAATGCAGAGTACAGCAAGAATTCTTAAATAGCTTCTTATTCTGGAGGGCAGCTCTGGGTTTGCTCACAGACTGTCATCCCTCCTGGGTGTCTGTCTTTTTCTGACTCCGATAGTACAATGACCTTTGTTGTTCTTCCAAAATGGCAGAAGTGTAGTATCAGGAAGCTTTTCAGCATGGCTCCTATTCTGAGGTGATGGGGAAGGTGGGGTAACTGGGAATCACATTTACCTGCAAAACCTCTGGCCCTTAAAGCCAGCTGCTCTCAGCCCAGGCTGCCCTCTTGGGTCAGAACCTTCAAAAACACCAAGGCTCAGGCCCCATCTAATGCAGCCCACGTGGAGACTCTTGCTATCAAACCATCTGCTGGAAAAACCTAAAACAGCCGCTATATTAGTTTCTTGTTGCTGCTGGCAGAATTATGGCTCGCTCTGTTTGGGCCCTGTCCCCATCAATCACCTCCTTCTCTGATTCGCCTTCATCTTGCTTTTATAAACTGTCTTGTGAGTCCAGTGAGTGCCTCCAAATACCCCAGGACACCCCATCCTGAATCAAATCACATTGCCACATGACACCACAGGTTCAGATTAGGACGTGAGAATCTTTGGAGACCAAAGAGTCTGCTCACCAGGGCCTCCAAAGTGTGTGCTGCTCACCATGGCCTCCTTCCTAGTGTGTGTGTAAAGTGTACATTGCTCACCATGGCCTCCTTCCTAGTGTGTGTGTAAAGTGTGTACTGCTCACCACAGCCTCCAAAGTGTGTGCTGCTCACCATGGCCTCCTTCCTAGTGTGTGTGTAAAGTGTGCATTGCTCACCATGGCCTCCTTCCTAGTGTGTGTGTAAAGTGTGTATTGCTCACCACAGCCTCCTTCCTAGTGTGTGTACAGTGTTCACCACAGTCTCCTTCCCTATTGTGTGTATAAAGTGTGCACAGGTTTTAAAACACACATACTTCTGGTTTTAGTGAACACAGAGTGAACCATTGGTAGCAAAGCCAGACCTAGAACAAACTCCTTCACCTTTCCATCTCCTCCCAGGGCCACCTGCCATGTTCTGTCTCTATAAATCTCAATATTGTCAATATTAGGTAGAGCCCCAATCATATTTTGTTGGTTATATATACTGTAATCACACATGATACCAAAGTGCCCAGTGTGGACCAAAAAAACTGGTACAAAATGTGAACTAGATCTAACTGAATGGCCTTTCATGGCGACAGGAATCCCTTGTTTTAGAAATAAAGGAAGTAAACAGTTCTCCATCAGCAGCAGAGGCAAGACCTCGGCGCCCTGACTCCTGGTGTTGCCCCCAGCATCCGACTATCTCTTCCGGTCTATATCCTCCATTCCATTAATCCCAAGAAGCCGCTGCCTTTTGCTGCCTCCGTCCCAGCAATTCTTCACCTGTCTATGGCCTTGAGCCTCTCACTTCTCTGGATTTCTCACCACCATGCTCTATTTCCTGCAGGACGCTTTTCTTCCCTCCTTAATTCCTTCCTTCTGCACTCCCTCCCTCCCTCCCTTCCTTCTTTCCCTTCTTCCAGCTTCTTTACTTCCACCCTTGGCAAGTTTTGCCCTCTGCTTCTTCTAAACCCTTTCTCATGCCAGTGTCTTCTGCGGAGGTCACCTCCTCCCAGCAGCTTTCTTCAAGCTACCCCACTGCTCCTCTTACGTCCCTGCAGCTGGGGATGGGGCAATCCCACAGCTGTCTTTGAAACCTGTGACGCTTGTCTGAGCAAACACCTGGGAGAGCTAGCATCAGTGCCCAGGACTGACAAAGTGACATCTGGAGCAGGCTGCAGAAGAAATCCGGGACAAGGGAGACACACTTGCGGGTAGCCCTCCCCCAAACATTCCGATGATCCTCAGCAGAGCCCGTAGCTTCATCCTCTGGCCCCACCTATAAAGCACATTGGACTGTCTTGCCTCCGAGATTCTGCCAGTTCCTATTGTCCCCAACCCTGCTGTACAGAAAAAAAACGCGCTTTCGAAATCGTTTCTTGGGCTTCCTTGGGAGGATGCCTGGTCCCAGTTGTCAAAGCACAGAAGAGAAACTATGGTGCTAGATAGCATATCTTTTGGATGTTGTTTTGGTTTTGCTTTGGTTTTTTGCTTGTTTGTTTGTTCGTTTGTTTGTTTACAGATTAGTGACAGAGGGTTCTAAAAAGGCAGGTGGAAGTTGCTTTTGGAACTGCAACACGAATGTTAGCTTGGGTGGATTCCAAAGGAACGAGACAGTCCTTATTCATTTAAAAAATTCTTTGCCTTCGAATATTCTCTCCTGACTAAAAATTTGCCAGCACACTATCTGTACGTTCAGAAGCCCCTTTTGTGTATTTTTTTTTGAGGGGGTTGGGTTTTTTTCCCAACCACTTGGTAGACTCATAAGAAAAGGGGAGGGGGCAGGGAAGGATTTCATTTCTACAACAAAATGCCTTTGGGGAAGATTGCTGGTTTTGGCAGCAAGCAAAGGGCTTCTTGAACTAAGGATTTCTGTTGCACGATTGAAACAGTCCCCATGGCAACCAGTCACCAGGCTCTGCTGGTCTTTTCACAGACACCCTCCACCCGGGAGGCCCTTTTGCATCCTGTAGATGTTGTGTTTGCATCTGTGAGCCAGAAATCTCTGCTCTTCCCATCCAATTAAGGACATGCTCAGACGTCAAGGCACCGGTCAAAGGCATCCCGTGTTCCCTTCTAAATGGTTCCTCTGGTGGGAATGGAGTTACATTTTTATGAGTCAGGGATAATTTTTTAGTGCCTTTAATTGTTGTGATAAATGGGATTTTCTTTTACTCGTAAGAGCTGGTTTGAGTGCACTTCACGGGTGACTGAAGAAAAGATGTACGTGGCTACCTCTTCAGCTCCCATGCCACCTGTTTCCCTAAGACCCATTGTGTGAAATCATTTGTGAGGTACCCACTCACCTCCTCTCTTCCAAGCCCCCGTTCCACTCCAGCAGGCAGCTGCTTTTGAGCATCCTGAGGTGTGGCTGGAACCCAGGGGTCATCTTGTACCACTAGCTCCTTCCCGATCTCCTCCTCACCGGCCCTTCTCAGTCCTCTGACTGCTGCTGGGAACGCTGAGCCTCTGCTTCTCAAAGTCCGCGAGTCAGAAAGATGGTTTGAAATGCTTGGCTATGCTTCTTACAGTGGCTTTCACAGATAAGGAAATAATCTGTGCAATTGTTCAGTAAAACTGGGACAAGACCCAGATTTCCTGATCTCCTTTCAGAGAGAGAGGGAGCAAGGAATGGAGAGGAAGGGAAGGAGGGAGAGAGGGAGGGAGGAAAGGGGGGAGGGAGAGAGAGAGAGAGAGAAATCTGTGCCTCCAAGCCATCACCAGCCCCCACAGAAGGCTGATTGGGAGAGAGAATTTCTATTTTACCCACTTTGCTTTTTCTTAACTTCAAACTATCAAAATTTCTAGATAAGAATCTTTAAAACACCAAGTTTTTCGTGGAGTACCCATGCTTGAAAACTTAGAAAACAGGCAGGAGTAAAGGAAAGAAGGAATATAGCCAAGCACAGCCTCACCACACAGATAAGTGAACAGTAGGGTTTGGGTTAGGGTTAGGGCTAGCGGTTAAGGTTAGGGCTAGGATTAAGGTTTGGGTTAGGTTAGTGTTTGGGTTAGGGTTAGTGTTTTGGTTAGTGTTTGGGTTAGGGTTAGTGTTTGGGTTAGATTTACAGGTTTGGGTTAGGAGTTATATTAGGGTTATGAGTTAGGGTCACTGTTTGTGATAGAATTAGCTTTGGGTTATGGTTTGTCTTATGGTTAGTTTACTTAAGATTGGTTCTGGTTTTTTTAAGGTTCTCTTTATGACAAATAACTAATATTTTACTTGGATCTAGTTGTTAGAAAAAGCACTAGAATAACAATTAAGAGAGTGATCCATAGACTTCTCCGCTGAAGCAGCTGTGTGACCTTGGCCAGATGCCGCACTCCAGTCGTAATGGCATCTGCTGTCGCGGAGTGGATGATTTCTCTGCTCCCGTGCTGGTGTTGCTGGCCAAGGAAAGCGCTGGAATAGATAGCCCAAAGACCCTCTGCAGCTCTAACACTCGCGGGTTCTGACACACATACCACAATACACAGAACCCAATCTAAAATTGAAAGGCTGGTGGCAGGCACAGTGGTGCACACTGTTAATCTCAGCACTTGGGGAGGAAGAGTTTGAGACCAGCCTCAACTACATAGCTCCACAGTCTCAGGGAGCCAAGGCTACATTGTGAGGCCCTGTGTCACAAAGTACATGCATACATACATACATACATAAATACATAAAGGCTGTTAAGGAATGAGGCCCTTTCTTTAAAAATCTTATAATTTATATAATCCTTTCCTCAATCTCTGATTTGTTTAGCTACAAGGCCAGCAAGGGGGAGTCAGCATCCGGGTCCTCCCATGCAGTGATGGATATCTCTCTGCCAACCGGAATTGGAGCAAACCAAGAAGATTTACGTGCTGCAAGTATTTCTTTTGAGATGTTGTGAATGTTGGGGTTCCTGTATTATTTTATGGGCAAATTTATATTCTTTTACTTTAATACCTCACCCTTGTACAATTACCCAAAATATTCTTCCCAAAACAAAAATCTATGATTTTATGGAAATGAAAAGGAGCGTCACTTAACCAAAGCATATGAACACACACAGCAATGGGAGCACGCGCAGCAGTGGGAGCGCGCGCAGCAGTGGGAGCGCGCAGCAGTGGGAGCGCGCAGCAGTGGGAGTATGCGCAGCAATGTGTACAGGGAGTCCAGAAGGAGGGACCATCCTTCAAGTCAGAGTGGTGAAGCATACTCTAGCTTAATCGGGGAGGAAATGTAATTAAACACAAAAATGAGAAAGCAAATTCAAGTTCTCTCTCTCTCTCTCTCTCTCTCTCTCTCTCTCTCTCTCTCTCTCT